GTGCCTGCTGGTGCTGCTGCTTGCTAATACTAGCATCCAAACACAGGTTTTATGGGCTGTTAATGTTTTTCTCCTCTGTGACTTCATTAATTCTCACTGGTCAGTCGCCTGAGCTAATGTTACTCTTGTTAAAGGTGGAAGGTCAACAACTGAGTTTAGTGAAAATGAAGATGCTGGCAACAACATAAAGAAATCAGTAAACCGTATCTTATCATTTAAGTGGGCGTCTTTGTGATGCAGTTTCACTGAAACAGGATGCTGCAGACTGATGCACCACGATCTCTTAAAGCTGTTGAAAAGATTGTGATACTTTCAGATCTTACTGCAAGTTTTACAAGCTGCTGATGGTTCCAACACAAATGTGCACTGTCAGCCTGTTTGAATGCCTTCAAGACAGATGGGAGAAGAAATATTTGCAGACATCAAATGCATTTACAACAATGTTGACAAGCCTACACTTTGATCTAGTGCATAATTTATGATTTTTTTCTGAGGACAGTGACAGGATTACTCATTTTGTTTGTTTAATTTTGTAAGGAACAAGGTTTAGCTCCCATAACACTGAAGACATTTACAACAGAGACCGTTTTTGTGTGTTAACTCACTCATATTAGCATTTTTCTTTGCTGAGTCATTCAAAGACAGCATTAATAATTCTGGCGCTGAAGGAGGAAACAGGGGATATCTCCCGTAATGTAGAATAGGCCTGCATTTATATCATTATGCATTCCTGTTTCCCTTGTTCTTCTCTGGTTTTAATTACTCACATCCTGAAGTTGTATCACACATAAAGATGAAAAACAAGTGAATATCAATAAATGAATGCAACTGTTCAATTAAAGTTAGTGCAAATCAAATTTTTGTCAATAGTGCAAAATAAACAGAGCAAACAACTGTAGGAAAATATATGTATTACAGTAAAAAAAAGTATTCAAAATAGCCTCTGCAGTCTTTCACTGCAGCAGGTAAAGATCTGTACAGTACAACTTCATTGGATGATCACAATTAAAAACTTCTCTAGACAGAGTTACAGTGTCAAATGATTAACTATATAATAGAAACAAAATCAATCATGCTCCATGCTGTGAATGCATATTAATATTAATGTCAGCATATTAATATTGGATACGTATGATGATTTTGGGTTAACCTAACAGCGGCATCAATGTGAAGCACTTTACTATGAGAACGAGAGACATTGTTGCAGGAATCTGAAACAGGAGTAAAGCTCCAGCACTCCACTCTCCACGCGGTCCCACTTCTATCACCCCACTCTACTCCAAGACCAATCACAAAAAAGACAAGCTCCACCAGCCTGGTCATCACTACACTCTTTACTCATGATCTTTCCTTTTGAAAGTAAACCAATTAGATAAAAACACACACATACATGCAAACCACCCCAGGAATACAGATTTACATTTAGACTACCTCTTCTGATCCTGATGTTTATTTCTGTGGGTGTTAATAAATTTATTTCTATATGTATCAGAGTGGGCATGGATGTGAACAAACATTATGTGCACATATATAACCTATATGAAGAAAGCATGATACAATTAGGACTGAAAACATATAATTTGTAGCATAGCAACAACCCCTGAAGTTGTTTTTAAGCCAAATGCAACTGCTGACACAGCTGAAAATTATTGGTTATGAAGCCATGAATTACTGTAGGTAAAAGCACCACTTCCTCTTTCAGCATCACAGTGAGTTTTCCATAAAGCTGTAAGTTTTTGGGGTATAAAAATATAAACATGTGAAAAATTAGGACAAATGGAAGGTGAGCAAAGATCAGACAGGCATTACCACAATCAACATAGGGAACAATTTTAGAGATTTCCAAATGGGCTGAATATGAATGCTTGTACTTCCAGCCTTTAATAGCATCCCTTTGTTCATCACTGAACATGCTTTACAGCAGAAGACACTTTCCTTTCTCCATAGAGATTGTCTTGTTTTCTGTAACCTTGACTTGAATAGGCAAGGATAAGCACTCTCAACTAAAGGCCAAAGAGGCAGAAAGAGTATGCAAAAAGAAATGACGAGAGACTGCTTATATAGATCCACAATCACTTTTGCCTGTACAGTCATCTGCTTATAGTTCCTTCTTTTACAAATAAATGCGAATAAAAATAAATAACACAAAAAAACTACATTTTGTTTTATCTAGGCCCATTTCATCTCACATCAATGATTTATTTGATGCTCAGCTGTAATTTACTGTCATCAGTGACACTATGAGCTCTATTTTTGTGTCCACCGAGGACGTGGCGGAGGGTGGCGGACCCCGCGCAGTGGTATTTTTCAGAGCTGAGTAATAGAGGGGGGGATGCTTACAACAGGCTGCGCCACTCACCAAAATACAAAATTGTGCTTGGGAACGCCTTGTTGGCGCGGCAGACCTGACTTAGCTGCGCCTTTGCCACGTCTCCGGCGAAGGACGAAAATAGAGCCCAATATCCGAACATTTTCATATATTTTGTGGTGTTACATGCAAATCATTTCTAGTGGCTACACTTTTTGTTTACTTGCTGTGTGTATATTTCAATATTTGTACATATTTGTGTGTTTCAGTGATAGAAAAGTTTGTCCCAGATCAAGAAAATCATGTACTGGGACTGTACCAATTAAAATAATCTGAACGAAGAAGAAGTAGAATACGTGTGTTCAGGTAAGGTTTGAACAGCTTGAACACCTTGAGTTTTCACCACATATTATTGATTATTCTTCCTGTTCATATTCGTTCTATTTCTGAAGGGGAAAAAAAAGAAAAAAATCTTACAGATCAGATCAGATGTGGCTCCTCTAGGTCCAGGGTCAACATATTCACAGTCAATCCATTTCCCAGTCATTGGGACTGTTTTTTCTTTCTGGGTGTAGAGGGGTTAAATTGAAGAAAATCTATCCAGTGAATCGATTCTTCTCCATCATGAGAAGATTGAATATCCACATAATCAGCAAGTCTTCGGACAGGATCTCTCTGCGCACGCAAACACACTCTGCATATGTAACTATACACATAATACATGTAGTTGGTCTGCAGTGTGTGTGTGATTCAGTGAATACACATAATAACACACAGCTGTATTTAATGTGGCCGATTGGTGATTGGTGGCAGCAGTACAGTTGATCCCAGATTCAGGTAGTTCATGTGAAAAAATGGTAATGGTGTCTGATTATTCTCCCTCAGTTCAGTCACTCTACAACATTTTTTTTTTTTTTTTTTTTAGTAAAGGAGGCTATTTATACCAACTGGATGCACAGTGTCCTCAAATGTCTGTTTTATCATAATCACTAGATTTAAACAGATTCACATGCATAGTAATGAAGGCATGTGCAAACACATGAAGACAACACACTGTGATTGATTGTCTGTTATGGAAATGGACCATGAATTAGTCAGTTAGTGAGTGACATAATTAGTACTCTGTGACAGGATCATGAAGACAGTGTTTAAAATCCAACACTCGCCTTTTCCTGGAACCCAGTTGGATGGGCGCATGCTTCAAGGCATATGACAAACATAGTGTCAAGTGTGTTTAAAATCTTTGATGTTTGTATCCCTGAATACGATAAAGAAAAGAAAAAAAAGAAAAGAAAAATATCCATAATAAAGTATTCCTGTAATGTTAAATGAGAGCTTTAATATCAGACAATTAATAAATGTATCTTTTTCTTAATTTTTTTTCTGGTTTTGTGAGTTGTTTTCTTTTTGTTTTTTTCTTTCTTTTTCTTTTTTTTCCCAGCAACCAGCCCCGACTGAATGAAAAATGAGCAGATTTTCTTAACGTTTACAATGCAGATGAAAATATTGCCCTTTCCAGGTTCAAGTTTCTTTGACCTGTCAGACCACCACAGTTTGAGTCACATCACTCCTCAGATATGAACACGAGAGGAGCATTTAATATTCTGCTCAGAATTTCAGAGTAAACTGGACCTACCATGGCATGCTAACCACCTTAATCTCAAGAATTATTTCTAAGCCCTGGCAAGTCGATTACCGAGTGCAGCAGAGTTCTGCATTTCAGGGAATAACATTTATAATCATTACTTTATGGAAATGCAATCAGACCGAGACGCTAAGGCAGAAGAACTACTGCGTCTGCAGTGCAAAATTATTATTATGAGGATTATTACTTCATGGAAATGATATGCTGCACTCGGTGATTGACTCGTAAGGTCTCCCCCACAAGCAAGTTGTGTTTGGTCTCTTTGCCAAAGAAACCACAGCTCAGCTCAGGCTGTATGAGCGCATGAACTCTGAACTCACCAAAATCTGTAAATCAAACATTATAGATTTAGAGACAACTGATCCGCTCTGCTTCAGCTATCAAAAACATTAGAAATAAGAAAGCTGACAAAACTACAGCAGAGTATCAGGATAACATTGAATTTTTTTTTTTCTTTTAAGATTTAGAGATTAAAGTTGTAAATTTAGGACAGCCCTAGTGTCCTGAAGCCCAGTTGTGTCCTCATCAAATTCTCTCCAGACACTGCTGTCCTGGGTAGAGTTCCCTTGTGCCTGTGGACCCTCTTCTTCCTCAGCCTGCTGGTTGGGGAATGTCACCACAGCTGCCATATTAGTGAGGTGCCTATAGGTCCTATCAGTGCCCTCTTCCCGCCTGAAGGCCTTCTGTTTAAATCTGGGGTCCAATGCTGCTGCCTGGGGGTGCAAATCATTTGCTTCAATTCTACGGAACCTGTGTTCCATTTCCATCAGCATTGTGTCCACCAGTTTCTTCACCGGATCTCTCAGGGGCACACCACGATGGTTTGCCATCAGCCTGTGCAGACCTCTCATCAGCAGAAGCACCTTTGACATAGTCAGATAACTAAAAGAAAGAGAAAGAAAGATTAGGCCTCTTATTTTTTGTAAATAAATAATTATAACAATAACATTATTAATAATGTTCTTATTAGTAGCAGTAGTTGTGGTTATCGTGTACAATAAGCAACTAGTCAGTAGTCAGTCAATTTGCTTGTGTATCTTTGCTGTCCTATCTACAGTAAAGTCTTCCAGATCCCATGTTAACGACCGAGGTCAAGCCAGACAAGCAGGAGCCTAAAACTTCATCAAGGGGCTGCAGGAGGTCACAGACTGTTTTCATGTCCTCCCACTCCTCTGGTGATGGGCGAGGCAGGTCGATATTCAGCAAGGCCATCTTGATGATCACTGGTTCTCTTGTCTCAAGCATCCTTTTCAACATGGTGAAAGTAGAATTCCATCGTGTTGGACATTCCAGCTTGGGACGCAGTTCTGGACACTCCGAGTTCTTTTGTTGCCTCTTCAGTTCTGTTGCTGCTAGGGTGCTTTTGTGAAAATACTGCACAATGGCTTTGACTTTGTCCACTGTAGTTTTGATGTTCTTAATACCATTGTGCACAATGAGGTTCAGCTGATGGGCGAAGCAAATTGCATCGGCCCATTCGGTTCCCCCTGCCTCCTTGGACCCCATGGCTTTTATAATATTGGCAGCACCATCTGTAATACAGGCAGCAACTTTGTCCTCTGTGTTCCACTCTGAAGCAACCCACAGAAGTTCCTTTGCCAGATACTCAGAGGTGTGTCTCTCTTCCAGCGCAAAACAGTCCAGCAGGAAGGAGACCATCTCAAAGTCCTCATTGATTAAGTGGCAAGTTACAGACATGTAGCTGTCTGTGGCTCTGGATGTCCAGCAATCTGTGGTTAGACACAGACACACAGATTCTGCCTTATCCATGCTGTTCTGGACTTTTTCAAATGGTCGCCTGTATAAATCAGGAACAATGCTCGTGGAAAGATGTTTCCTGCTTGGCAAAACATAATTTGGATTTAATTCCTTTACAAAATCATGGAATCCAATGTCTTCCACTATTGTATAAGGTTGTAAATCCTGTGCAACCATGCTTGCCAACACATCATCCACTCTCTTTTGCCTCAGTGGGTCCATAGGCCTTGTCACAAAATCAGTCAGTCTTGATTGTGCTCCTCTTACCCTGGGCCTGGGATTTCTACTGGCTGCTGCCTCTGCTGTAGCAACAGCAACTTCAGTGGTGCTGGTACTGCTTGCTGAAGCAGCAGAACTGATGGCTGGAGTAGAAATAGGGCCACCACTGCTTCTGGCTGATGCTGTAGCAGTGCTTCTGCTGCTGCTGTCTCCTTCATCCTGCCTGACCTCTTCCAGCCATACAGTTACATGTTTCTGTTGAATGTGTCTTTTAAGGTTACCTGTGGACCCACCTTTGAAAGAATAGTTTTTTGTTTTTTTTTGCATAGTTTGCATTTTGCTTCTTCTGCAGAAAGTTGTTCAAAGTGGGTCCAGACAGCACTTCTCTTCCTTGATACATCCATTAAGTTGCACAAATGGGTAGTAATGACTCTCAATTGGGGGGTGGGTGTTAAGGGCAAAGGGCCCAGGTTGAAGTTGACCAGGGGTCAGAGGAACATACCAAGTAAAAGGGGGGCTACCCAGGCTGTCACTATGAGTAGGGACAGACAGGAATAGGGACTGACCCCTCTCCAAATAAAAATGGTTCAGTCCTGCAGGAAAGGAGGACTGAGGAGGAGTAATTTAATTGTAAACAAAGTATACACTTGTAGTACAGTAAAGAAAGAAACCAATCCATATCTATCTATCTATCTATCTATCTATCTATCTATCTATCTATCTATCTATCTATCATCATAGTAATTTAAAACCATTTATAAAAGCTCCAGATAGATTGATGTATTCTGTATAGTACTGTATATTTGTCTGTACAGTTGTCATAATGTTGTTGTTTAATTTGCACTGTATGTGTGTTGCAACCAGAAAAGGCTACAACATAGTCATACATTTGTACATAAATATAAATATGCACATGTATCTTCTGTATAGTAGTGTAGTAGTATAGTGGTACTCAGTCAGTCTGAGAGTCGGTCAATCTCTCGGTCAGACCGAGCTGACTGAAAAGACGGAGACCGAGTCGGTCATCGGTCCCGGTCTTTCAGTCAGCTCAGTACTGCTGCTGCTTCTCTAAGCCCCACCCACCCACAGAGCGAGGCACGACGATAGGATAAGACAGGCAAGCACGGAGATAGTCCCACCCTAAGGAACGTTGAACTGACTCTTCAGCCAATCAAAAGGACTGAACGGATCATTTAGGGGGGTGACCTCGTTCATTTCGTTCACCGAAAAGAAGTAGTTCTTTTGATCCGTTCGTTCATGACCGACACACCACTAGTTCTATGTGTGTCTAGCTGTTGCAGAATAGTGGAACACTGTACAACCAAAGATTTTAGGGCAGTGTTAACAGAAGTTTGAAAGAAACTGTTCTCATTCAGACTATGATACTTTACAGGAAACTGTGTTTTGAACAGAGTGGGGCTGTTAACCTAAAGCACCCAGGTAAGTGTGCTGGAAAAAGTAAGACAGCTTCACGCCTTCCACAGCAGCACTCTATGAAAGCCATTTTTACAGTAACAGTTTATGCACTCTGCTCGAGATGTTGCTGAGGTGTAATTCAGATATCCGTGAATAGGGAGAGCCCAACTGTTTTATCACTGACAATGGAAGCAGCTTATGTGACAATAACTTAGGAAGTGCAAAAGCTGTTACAGCTGATCTGAACCATCCCAATGCAAGTGCTGAAAGTATCCAACCTATCTGGGCTCAACAGGTAGACACAAAACTCAAGTGTTGGCAGCAGGAGAAATTTTGGTGATTCATAGGGACCTCACTCAGCTTAGCAACCAATAGTGCTAGTTCTTAAGACGTAGTGAGATTGATATTTCATTTTAAATGGAAGCCAGAATACTTCCAATGCCAAAATCCAGTGCTGTGGATAATGGGCAAGAGATTAAAAAAGGCAACCACTTCAGGATTTATTTTCCTCAAGTCTTGACTGCAAACCATTAAATCCAGGTTATGGCTGCAGAAACTACAAATTTCTTCCAGACACAGAGCTCTGTAGTCCTCCAGGGAAACCTTTGTTGCTTATAATAACTGATGGGTTAATAGGTGAAGCAACCTAGGTTAGGCCAGGAGGTTTTCGCCAATTGGGAATACAGAGACTACCTCATACCGGACTCTCTCTGCAGGCCTAATGAGGTATTTGAACAAACTGATGGACCTTTCTGGAGCACAGTGAGTCAAAATATAAGAAACAAACCTGGGATCATCTTTTGATGAAAAATGGTGATACCTGGGCATCCAAATATCTCACCCAAATATAACAGTCTTTGTCCCAGATTTGATAAATCTTTGTAAAAGTTGGATATCCTTCACAGAACAAAGCACAAGGTCAAGATCAGTTAGCACTCCTGTTCCATAATCGGTATAATTTTACTCGGCAGAAGAAGGACAAGGTTAAGAGCACAACATTCATTCAAGTGTCTGTGTCATGTAATAGCTGTCTTCCATTTTGCGGCTGTGTTATACAACATGTTTGTTAGACATTTTGAATTCAGTGTTTATAAGTTGAATTAGATCAAAATCTTATTGATATAATAATAAGATAATATAATATTGAGCATGTGATGAAGTGTTTTCTGATTATTTTCTGTTACATAATTCCACAAGTAGTTTCAAGCCACACTAATACATCCACACCAAGTTTCTTTGTGATACATGACCTTGGTTGCATCTAACTGTATCTTCTATACAACTCTGTTTTTGACAATAATCTGAGAGTCTGAGGCAATGTGTGCACAGCTTGAAAAACACCAGAGACTTTTGGAAACAGTGATACAGACTTCTACAGACAAGAACATCCATGGATTTTTCTTTCTCTTAAGCACTGTTATCTTGTGATAACGACCTATCATCTTGTTATTTTGACATAACAAAGACCATTTTCTTGTGATGATGAATTGTTTAATTTTCGTTATCTCGACATCACAAAGTTTGTTTTTTTGTGATAAAAAATAGATGAATAATGTGTTACTGTTTTTGCTGGGTTAACACATATCAGTTAAATGTTCCCACGTTGAAAGTTTAACATGTCAGAAACATCCCAATAATATACCATAGACTGTATATACTATGGGCAACTTGGTTCTGCCTTCTGCCAGTATAGGGAATTGAAACCAAAAAGCTCTCAGTGTTTCTTCTCCACTTCCTGAAACCAACATTGCACAGTAGCATTGTACGCACTCCACCACTTGTACAGTAGCATTGTACAGAGGGAGAGTCGCTGTGATGACGCGCAGGACAAACAGCGTATCTTTCAGGTGAGCTACGTTATCTTCGTACGCTCATAGGCTGTATCAAGTGTCAATAATAGAAAACATGAACCCCCTAATAACGATTCAAAATGGAGCTGTACAGAAAAATGAGGACTTGAGCACAAACCAGTCTTACAGTAACTACACGTCAACATCGTCAACCAGGGGGGAGAAAAAATTATATTCTGTGTAATTAATTTCTGAAGTTTGTCCACAGCTCCATAGGAATTGCTGGAGGAGGCGGAATTTACGGTGTATACTGCAGCCCGTCACCAGAGGGTGCTGTCCTCGGGGTGACTTCACCCAGGGAGGAGGCAGATGGTGTCCATTCTAAATACAGTCTGTGATTCCAATCTGGAGGGCGTTTTTAAATTTACCATTTTAATTATCATGAGAAAATAATGTTCGTTATGTCAAAATAACAAGATATTAAGTCATTATCACAAGATATCAGTGCATTAAAAAAGAAAAATCAATGGCTGTTCTCATCTTTCGTAGACTTCAGTGTGTTCGTGATGGATCTTATTGTCTGTGCTGACAACTTCACACTCTCAGAAACACTTCCATTTCATCAATAGTCCAGAGAGAGAATAACAGCTTTATTTTCCAGCCTATACTGTTTTTCCCCTGTCAACTTCAATTTCTTCTCAACCAGCAGACAGCAAAGGGGATAATATGTGTCCTGTCTGGCATTGGCATGCTTAGTTTAAGTAAATGCTTGTGTGTATGACCATGATGTATTTTTACTTTGTATACCAACAATCACCCTGAAACACAGCTTCAGTACATATATGGGACATCATTGCTATTTTGCAGTACCAAGTTTGAGGCCAGTGTTCTCTGTCAGAAGAAGGTGAATTGCTTCCTCTGGGTGGGGAATAAGTCTCTGTCCAAAGTGGCAGAGTTCAAGAGTCTTAGAGGTTCACAAGTAAGAATAAAATAGATTACAACATTGACAGGCATATTGGGGCAGCATCTGTAGTAATGTAGGTGTTGTAACAGACTTTAGTGCCGAAAGGGAAAAGCTTTTGACTACCATTCAATCTGCAATCTAGCCCTTACCTATGATCATCAGTTTGGGGTAATGGCCAAGAGAATGAGACTTCAAAAAAGAAAAAAGAAAAAACTCATTTAATCTTCTTGCAGAGTGTCGAGGCTCAGCCTCAGAGGAAAGGTGAGGAACTCAAATATCCTGAGTGGAGCTGCTGCTCTCTCCCATCAAAAAGATCCAGTTTGGGTGGTTTGGGTGTCTTATTATGTTGCCTCCTGGGTACATCACTTTGGAGATTTTTCAGCACCAAATCAAACAGGAAAGAAACCCCCGGATCACCAGAGGGATTATACAGCCTCTCTGGTCAGGGTATGCATCTAGATCCACCAGAAGGAGAAGGGAAACATTACTGGGATAGGGACATCTGGGTCAAC